TAAACTCATGCTATCAAATTCCATAATGTTTACCCATGGTGGACTGTGTTTGGCGGTACCTCCAGATTAAGATAGGCTTGGAAGCAGGAGTGGCATTCACTTTCTTGACAACATGCCTATGGTAACTCTATGAACTTAGAGAAATAACAATAGGTATAGAACAAGGTTTAAGTCTTTTGTTCATTGGGTCACTATGAATCGTGCTTGACTTCATGGCACTTAACAACACAACAACAGCATATACAAAGTAAATGTTTCTATTTTTCATTGCACAATATAAAGGTTAAGATGCAACACTAATAATTTAATATTTTACTTTGGCTTAACTTGGAATAAAATGAAATATAAAATAAAAAACATTATATCCAGTTGATTGAATGAGTGGAAGGAAGGATGGAGCTTTATATTTTACTTCCTTTGAGATACTTTTTATTTCTGCTTTCTGAACAAGAGGTTTTCATCCATTTTCATTGTGCAGAGTCTGCCATTACATAATTAGCCCTAGCCTCTTCTTATGTAGCAAATAGCCGACAAAGCCAAAATTAAGTCCATCCAGCAATCACTCCTTCCTCGTACTTCTAGAACATACTACATAAACCTAGTGCTTAAAATTCCTTGATATGTAACTCCACTCCTTTTTCCGTGGTTTACATAAACCTGTTCCACGGGTCAATTCACCCAAGGATAGATTAAGTCAACAATCTGTATCCCTACAGTCTAGAAAGAGGGGCATAAGGTAGATGTTGTGTAAAGTGTGAACTAAAGTGGCCATACACGAGTGTTTGAGGTCCCCAGAGACAGAATGGAATTGGGGATGGGTAGGAAAAGGGTGAATACCTGTCCCTGTGTCACTACATTTCAATGACACTCAAAGGGGTCCAAGAGGACTAAATTTGAACCTCAACTTCCAAGTCATTATACCAATGTATAATGGAAGATAAACACAAGTAATTCAATAGTTTGACTTGATTTAGAATTTTTACATATTTAGACACTTGTTATCTGATCAACATTTATGCCCCACTTATACTCTAATAATCATAGATTCTATGAATGTTAGATGACCTCAATGTGGCTATCATGTGTGAAATACTTCATGCCTAGCACTTATTAAAAACTTAGTGTAGTGTGGGACTATTAACATTAAACAGATAAGAAAACCAATGCTGATGGCAATAATATCACATAATTTATTATTTTTTTTTTTTTTTTGCCAAACTCCTGAAGTCTTGCAGTTTTCCCTCTCTCCCCACCCTCTTGGTCTCATGAGAATGGAGAAGTAGTAGGTGGTAAAGGTGGAATTTTGCTTTTGCAAATCCCATAAAGATGTTGTTCTAAATGGACTGGTTAACTGAGTCCTTAATGTACTGTATTGGTTTCATGCCTGAACTGGTTGCTTGTCTTATCTGAATCATTCGTGAACTTAGTATGCCCTCTGGAGATTTAAGTGTCCATTTTGCAACCTCTAGAAACAGAGTTAAATATTTTTTTTTCTATTGTAGTACTATGTATATTTTTTAATTCCTTGGAGTGTGAATGGTTAATGCTGTTGGCTTCTAAAGGTTGAACATTCAAGTCCACTCAGGAACACTTTGGAAATGTGTGAATATCTATTTCCCAAATATCACCAAATGAAAACCCTTGAAGCCTAGTTCTGCCTCGATACACATGAGCTACCATGAGTCAGTCAACTCTGCAGTGATTGGTTACATATTGCTTAGACTTCTAATTTAACAGATTCCCTGCCCTCATTTCTCACATTTCAGTGTTTTATGTGAAAATGTACTGCAAGTTCCTTGAACACTATTTCTTGATTTATCTTCTCTTCTTTCGTTTTAATGAATAACCTTAACAGATATACTTAGTCTAGGTAGCCACCTCTTCTAGTACTGCATAAATTTTGTCATTCCTTTATAAGTTGGGAAGTTTTTTAAAGCTTATGGGGATAAACAGAATCCACTGAGTTAATAAATCAGAGAGTTGCTTTAAACTGTGACTTAAATATTCTCTCTCTCTTCCCCTCTCTACCTCTAACTTCTTCTCTGTCTGTTTCTTGTGTTATTGCCATTGGGTAGGAATCAACTCATAGTTTGACCCCCCCATTGGGTTTCCAACTGAGGCTCTAAATCACCAGGAAGAGATTGCTCCTCATATTCCCGTGGAATGGATTCAGTACCCCAGGGAAGCATAGCTATTTAAGGTTGTAGTGGAACTCTCTTCAGATCATGAGCTCCCTTGAAGTATTATCTCATCTATCCCATTTTTTGTTCAATTGTTCTTTCTTTCTTTTGCCGGAGTTATCACCAGATTACGGTCAGGTAAATTAATAACAGAACGCTACAATAATCATAAAATGTTATTGCTTGTAGACTTTGTTCTTTATGACCAATTTAAGGGTCTAGCAGAATTTAGGGAATATACAAATTTTATGGAGGGTATTTTTGCTTCTCTTGTTTCTCTCTATTTTATTTTGTACTTCCATTATGAAAATGGAAACATAATTTTTATTTCATGTCATAAAATATTGCCATTTTACTGCATGTTCTTAATGGCCTTTCTACTTATTTCTATATCCAAAATCCAAAACCCAAAACCCACTATTTTCAAGTCTAACTCATATGGGCCCACAATCAGGTTTCAGAGGATACAAATCTTTATGGTAGAAAACTTCCCATTTCTCTCCCTCAGAACAGCTGGTGGATTTGAATTTCAGCCTAATCAATTACTCATTATATTACTAGCAGAAATAGTGCCTAACTTGTTTATTTATTGTATATTTAGCACACAACACAGATTTTGAGGTACAATGTAAGTCCTTAATGATTACTGAGTAGACAAATAGATGCTTCAAGTGCATAAAGAGCATGCTTGATGCAAAGCTGGGGATTTCAAGAGTAGATAGATTCAGTAGTGAGTAGATAAAAGACAGTTGAAGGAACTGGCATAGAGGATTTAAAGTGATATAATAGGCTTCAAAAATTGCATAGAGGAGATACAGGTATCTTCTGTCCTTTGAAAGTTTGCTTTATGTCATTTTATTTTTAGGAAAGGCCTGTATCTGTTTCTGTTTTCATTAACCAAATATAATCTAAAGGTTATTTTTGGTTTAGAAAAAAATGAGAGGAAGAAGAACTAACACTTAGCATTTGTTTTGTTGTTGTTATGGTTGTGTGCTGTTGAGTCAGAAGTCATGGCTTATCCCTTCAGTGGGCTTGTAGAGACAGGAAATCACATGTAGGAGACTGTTCATCTTTCTCCTGTAAAAAAAGTAGTGGATTTGAACTGTATTCCCTTGGGATTGCAGCTTGGCTTCTTACCACTGGGCCATCAACATATCCTTATTTGTTTTGTAGTAAAGAGGCAGTATGTACCCCAAACAGTGTGCATGGTGTCACCAAGATGGTTTCTTGGGAACTGCACTCAGTACCACTGCATCAAGCTACTGGGATATATCTGTCCGTTATTGTTATTTTAGATTTTTCTTTTTCTCTATGTTATATGATATAGCAGGCTTCTTTTTAGTCTGAGAACACTAAAAAAATAGACATGAAAAGTAATTACATCTTCACTTTATGCTTTATCAGCTTACGAAACTATTTCATCAGAACACTCTTGGACGGTGAAAGAAACCTGTAATACATTGGGTTAAAAAAGGATGAGTTAAGTTATTAGATATCATCATGACATTACAAAGTCAATTCAACAGGATAGGAAGTAGGAAAGTCCGATTGTTAGAAGGATGTGGCCCATAAATAGGATACTAGATTTTAAGATTTTAGAAATGAAAATCATTCCTAGGTCTAAAATACCGCTCTAGGAGCACTCTATGAAGCTGCCACATAGAAAGTATGTGGATTGCTAGTCATCTGAAAAGACGCATGATCACGGAAGTTCAGGGGAGTGGGTGCATGCAAATCATGCCTAGGGACTCTTTTTGGTGCTATTATTTCTTTCTACAAAGCAATCTATTTTTTAAAAAATCTAAAAAATGTTCCCAACTCTAAAGGAAAGCTCACTTAAACTCCTTGCCATTGAATGACGCAACTGACTCAGAGCTGACTCATTGGTTTTAGTTGTTATCTGTCATCGATTGACTTATAGCTTAACCTCCAGTGATTTTTCAGATGCTGTAAATCCCACAGGAGGAGGTTGTCCATCTTCCTCTTGGGAGCTCACTGATTAATTTAAACCATGAGAGATGTGTTCCCTCAGGTTACTGCTGCACTGCACCATGTGAGTTTTCTAATCTAGAGAAAAGAAGACATTCTCCTGGTGACACTGGTAAAAATTCTTATACATAAGACTATATCTTTTGTATTTAAATAGTCAGACTTGGGCATTTCAAGGGTATTTCCCTAAAACTAATAAAAATTTTAGTGGCCTAGGGAAGGAGAAGTAGCATCCACTTGCTAAACAACATGCCTCTGGAAACTCTATGAACTTTGAGACATGATGATAGTTATATAGAAACTTAGGTCTTTTGTTTACAGAGTCTCTATGAGTCATGCTTTACTTGACGGCAGTCAACAACACTGGCAAGAAGCTGTGCTGCAGCCTTAAAGAGTATGTGTTTGGTGCCAGCTGCTTTGTGGGAGAAGGGTGGGCAATCTCCTCTTGTGTGACTATGCAGCTGAAAACCCCCGGAAGGTCAGCAATGGGTCTATTTTCACTTGAAGGTACACAACAACAACATATTAGATTAATTTCAGTTGTATGTCCTTTTTAAAATTGGCATAGCACTTTAAAATGAGGTTACAGATACTTCCCATTTATAGATGCAAGCACTACTTACTTTCTAGTGGTCAAGATTATCACTAAAAATACTGAAAGATGATTGAACTTTTGAATTTTAAAATAAAAATAACCTTCACAGGTACATAGCCAGTTGCATAGCAGTTTATTTTATTAGATCATCTCCCCCGCAGAAGGTCTAATACATTTGTGAAAACTTTATAATTAAGAGAAGGATGGATGATGTACTTTATTGACCTCATGTAAGCTTAGTTCAAACCTAATGATAACTGCAATTCCCCTACCCACTTCCACATAATCTTTAGAATGCCAGGAATTGTGCTATTGATACTAATTTCAGGACAAGGGAAAGAAGAAGGTTTCTCTGAAGGGGTCGGTGGAGCAATAAACAAAGAAACACGTGCAATGTTGGATATTTCTGACTTCAGATTGACCTCATCAACAGCCTGTACTGCAATGTACAGATCAGTACCATTTTCAAACATGATGTTCTCTGGTTTAAACATGAACTCTTCTTGAGAGTTGGCATCCTTTGGGACGAGATCAGTTGTGTTCACTTGAAGAGAATCATCAAACTTGTCTCTGAGATCAAGAATATTTCTGCTTATTCGAATAATATACTCCTGAGCTGAGAACAAAAACAACATGAACTGTAATTTTCATATCTTAAAAAGCTTACAAGTCTGAGATTCTAATGAGTAAATGCAATCAATGCTCCATGATGACAAGTGCTAGGATCTCTTCTACATTCTCATCTGTACATCCTTACAGAGTGACAAATATATGGGTTAAGCATAACTTTAAAGCCTCAGTAAACATTTCTAGGCATAAATAATAGCTGAGAGAAGAGACTATTTAATTGCTGCTTATTATATTATTTATAGATAGATTTGCTGATGCTTCTTAAATTTTAATGTACATAAAAATCACCAAAGATTTTAAAAGGCAGATTCCAAGTCAGTAGGCCTGAGATGGGTCTGTAATTCTGCAGCTCTAATAAGTTCCTAGGTGACTGATATATTGCTCATTGAGGATCACCTTTTGAGGGGCAAAGTCTGGTAGGACCTGAGATTACTTCTAAAGTATATATAT